GTATTTTTACCATCTCCATTCTTTTGATGTACCACACACGTATATGCATGCACAGATATTACCGTATTCTGTGTATGCATATTTTAATTCCCCCTCTGTCCATACATTCATCCCTATTGTATTCTATCTAATTGTTTACATTTCTTCCTTCATCACACTACCTCCTACTTATCCACATATCCATCTATACACACATCACTATTTCATTATGAATTCTTTGACATATACCCATCTATCCTTCATACCCATTGGTCCCCCTTCCCAATATAATATAATTTATATGTACGTATATGTAACCCATTACCCTCTGTTTACCTACACATCATTTGTCCAATATATATTCGTTGATACATATTTATTTATTATACTTATTATGTATTCGGTTTTTTATAACATATGTCATATATACTCATGGACTTTCTTATCCTGATTATGATTTACCATTGTCAATTTTATTTATATATTATCTATTGCTCTTCTTTATTTATCTAGTTCCCTCCATTTATGCATTTATATATAATTTCCCATTTTATTTGGTCCCCTTTTTTATATACATGTTCCCATTGCTCCTCTGACTCTCCGTGTACTGGCCCCCCTGCTCCCTCTCTCTCTCCACCCCCAGCCTTGTCTGTCATATCTTTGTTGTCCTATATTAGGCTCTCCTCCACCTCCCTCCCTTATGTACGATCTATGCCTGAAGAAAGAGCACACCTGTCCCTAGAAATGCGTTGCATCCTGATGACATCAGACGCCTACATATTCATCTCTGAACATACCAGGGACTCATTTGGGCTTCATCCATCCATGACCCTTCATGTGCAGTGCCTCCTGCTGATCGGCCCATGATCCCTTCTAGAGCATCTACAATCACCTGGTGATAGACGTTTTCCACACTTCATTCCTATGAGCCTGCATGCTTTTTAAAAGATGTGAGTTGCCTAACTTACTTTTTAACAATAAATTGCTATACAGTTTACACTTAGAGGCGCTGTGTCCTCTGTTGCCATTTCTGTTACCATGACTGTACTGTTCAACTACAGTGCTGTGAAAAAGTATTTTCCCCTTTTCTGATTTTTTTTTTCATATTTGTCACACTTAAATGATTCAGATCATCAAATTGTATTATTGCACAAAGATAACTCGAGTAAATACAAAATACAGTTTTTAAATGATTTCACTTGTTAAGGGAAAAATGCTATCTAAACCTGTATATCCCTATGTGAAAAAGTCATTGACCCCTAAACTTAATAACTGGTTGTACCACCCTTGGCGGCAACAACTGCAAACAAGCATTTGCAATAACTAACAATAAGTCTTTCACGTCACTGTAGAGGAATTTTGGCCCACCATTCTTTGTAGAATTGATTTACTCAGCCACATTGGAGGGTTTTTCGAGCATGAACTGCCTGCCTGTTTAAGGTCATACCACAGCTTCTCAATTAGTCAAAAACTTTGACTCCGCCACTCCAAAACCTTAATTTGGGGGGGTCGAGCCATTTAGAGGTTGACGTGCTGGTGTGTTTAGCATCATCGTCCTGCTGCTGCATAACCCAAGTGCACTTGAGCTTGAGGTTACAAACTGATGGCTAGACATTCTCCTTCGAGATTTTCTGGTAGAGCACAGAATTCATGGTTCCATCACTGTTGGTATGATGTTCTTTTTATGAAATGCTTTGTTAGTTTTTATTCCAGATGTCACAGGACGTACACCTTCCAAAAAGTTCAACTTTTGTCTTATCAATCCACAGAATATTTGGCCAAATGTCTTGAGGATAATCAAGATGTTTTTTTGCAAATGTGAAATGAGCCTTTGTGTTCTTTTTAATCAGCACTGGCTTTCATCTCTTGGAACTCTCCAATGGATGCCATTTTTTGCCCAGTTTTATTCTTATTGTTGAATCATGAACACTGACTAGAACTGAGGAAAGTGAGGCCTGCAGTTCTTTAGATGTTGTTCTGGGTTCTTTTATGACCTCCTGAATGAGTCGTCATTGTGCTTTTGGTTTGCTGTAATCCCATAGCCTAAGAAATGGCCTTGTAACCCTTTCCAGACTGATACATGGCAATTACTTTGTTTCTCATCTGTTCTTGAATTTCTTTAGATCATGGCATGATGTGTTCCTTTTTTGATCTTTTAGCATGCTTCACTTTATCAGACAACTTCTATTTAAGTGATTTCTTGATTCAACAGGTCTGACAGTAATCCGGGTGTAACAGTTGAAATGTAACTCAGCTTTCCAAAAATGTGGTAATCAAGTTAATTCAAGATATAGCAAGGGGGGAATGGGATTCAATTACTTTTTCACATAGAGCCAGGTTTGGACAGCTTTTTTCCCTTAATAAATTAAATCATCTTTTAAAAACTGCATTTTGTATTTACTCGGGTTATCTTTGTGTAATATTAAAATTTGTTTGATGGTCTGAATCATTTAGGTGTGGCAAATATGAAAACAAAAATCAGGAAGGGGGCAAATCATTTTTGTATATTTCCTTTCTTCTTATTTCCTATCTTGAATTAACCCATCACTTGATTTCATGACCAGAATAGTAGATAGTATGCTCTTCTTACTGAAATTGTCCTAAGCTGGTCCATTTAAGTTCACTGATCCCTAAGACAGTAATTGTCAGGGCTCCCGGGTATGACCAGAGGTGTGTGACTGACGCAGGGAAACTCAGACTTCAGATATGTTATAAACAATGTGATTTATTAACACTAACCATACAAACATAAACGCAGTGCAATACTAAAACATAACACAGTGCAAACAAACCAACCAACCACCCACAGATAACAGTACATACAATGCAAGCGTCGTCAGGCAGGCCGGGTCAATATCAGTCGGGCAGGTAGGTACAGGGGGAGCAAGCGGAGAATGGTCGGGGTCACAGGCCAGGTTCAGCAGGTAGCGGGCAGCGTGGTACAGAGGGTCAGGCAGAGGAGAATGGTCAGACAAGCCAGGGATCAGAGCAGGGTCAGCAGAGAATCAGACAGGAACAGAGAGCAGGAACAGGATACAGGGCCCAAGAGAAACACAACACCAAGGCAGAGTCTGCAGGTCTGAATGTCCCTTAAATACACCAGTATAATTAGTTCCAGGTGTTTGACTGGCTGCAAGGTTGAGTCTCTGATTGCTGGGAGCACCCGCTGGCCAGCCCTGGTACTGCAGCTCATAAGGCAGCTGAGTCCCACTATTGCTGGCCAGTCCATTCCTGACAGTACCCCCCCCCCCAAGGAGCGGCCTCAGGACGCTCCAAACAGTCCTAGCTGGGCAAAATGTTCCACCGCCCGGGTCTGGTAACTGGCGGGATATCAAAGACTGGCACACCGGGCAGGACTCCGGGCAGCGGCACACCGGGCAGAGGCACATCGGGCAGGACTCTGGGCAGAGGCACATCGGGCTGGACTCCGGGCAGAGGCACACTGGGGCAGCGGCACACCGGGCAGAGGCACATCGGGCTGGACTCCGGGCAGAGGCACATCGGGCTGGACTCCGGGCAGAGGCACATCGGGCTGGACTCCGGGCAGAGGCACATCGGGCTGGACTCCGGGCAGAGGCACATCGGGCAGAGGCACACCGGGCAGAGGCACATCGGGCTGGACTCCGGGCAGAGGCACATCGGGCTGGACTCCAGGCAGAGGCACATCGGGCTGGACTCCGGGCAGAGGCACATCGGGCTGGACTCCGGGCAGAGGCACATCGGGCCGGACTCTGGGCAGAGACACATCGGATTACCAGGCGAAGCAGCAGGCACCGGGCCCCCAGGCGGGGCAGCAGGCACCGGGCCCCCGGGGGGGGGCAACAGGCATCGGGCCCCCGGGCGGGGCGACCGGCATCGGGTCCCCAGGCGGGGCGACAGGCATCGGCCCCCAGGCGGGGCGACAGGCATCGGGCCCCCAGGCGGAGCGGCGGGCGCCGGGCCCCCAGGGGCGACAGGCATCGGGCCCCCAGGCGGGGCGACAGGCATCGGGCCCCCAGGCGGGGCAACAGGCATCGGGCCCCCAGGCGGAGCGACAGGTCTCGGGCCCTCAGGCGGAGCGGCGGGCGCCGGACCCCCAGATGGAGCGACAGGTCTTGGGCCCTCAGGCGGAGCGGCGGGCGCCGGACCTCCAGGTGGAGCGACAGGTCTCGGGCCCTCAGGCGGAGCGGCGGGCGCCGGGCCCCCAGGCGGAGCGACAGGTCTCGGGCCCCCAGGCGGAGCGACAGGTCTCGGACCCTCAGGCGGAGCGGCGGGCGCCGGTCCCCCAGGCGGAGCGACAGGTCTCGGGCCCTCAGGCGGAGCGGCGGGCGCCGGACCCCCAGGCGGAGCGACAGGTCTCGGGCCCTCAGGCGGAGGAGCGGTGGTCGCCGGACCCCCAGGTGGAGCGACAGGTCTCGGGCCCTCAGGCGGAGCGACAGGTCTCAGGCCCCCAGGTGGGGCGGGGGCGCCGGGCGGCGGGCGCCGGACCCCCAGGCGGAGTGACAGGTCTTGGGCCCCCAGGCGAAGCGGCGGGCACCGAGTCACCAGGCACGACAGTGGGCTCCGAGTCAACTGGCATGACCGCTGGCACTGGGTCAGACATTGGATCGTCTGGCTGGACAGCGGGCATCGGGCCACCAGGCATCAGGTCATTTGGCTCGACAGCGGGCACCGCGTCATCTGGCAAGGCAGTGGGCTCCGAGTCAACTGGTATGACCGCGGGCACTGGGTCAGACATTGGATCGTCTGACTGGACAGCGGGCATCGGGTCACCAGGCATCAAGTCATTTGGCTCGACAGCGAGCACCGCGTCATCTGGCAAGGCAGTGGGCTCCAAGTCAACTGGCATGACCGCGGGCACTGGGGCAGACATTGAATCGTCTCTGACTGGACAGCGGGCATCGGGTCACCAGGCATCAAGTCATTTGGCTCGACAGCGAGCACCGCGTCATCTGGCAAGACAGTGGGCTCCGAGTCAACTGGCATGACCGCGGGCACTGGGGCAGACATTGAATCGTCTGGCTGGACAGCGGGCATCGGGTCACCAGGCATCAGGTCATTTGGCTCGACAGCGGCACCGCGTCATCTGGCAAGGCAGTGGGCTCCGAGTCAACAGGCACGACAGTGGGCACCGGGTCATCAGGTACCGGATTGTCTGGCTCGACAGCGGGCATCGGGTCACCAGGTATGACAGCGGGCACTGGGTCGCCAGGCATCAGGTCATTTAGCTTGCCAGCGGGCACCGCGTCATCTGGCAAGGCAGTGGGCACCGGGTCACCAGGCATTGGATCGTCTGGCTCAACAGCGGGCATCGGGTCACCAGGTATGACAGCGGGCACTGGGTCACCAGGCATCAGGTCATTTGGCTTGCCAGCGGGCACCGCGTCATCTGGCAAGGCAGTGGGCACCGGGTCACCAGGCATTGGATCGTCTGGCTCGACAGCGGGCATCGGGTCACCAGGTATGACAGCGGGCACTGGGTCACCAGGCATCAGGTCATTTGGCTCGCCAGCGGGCACCGCGTCATTTGGCAAGGCAGTGGGCACCGAGTCACCAGGTACGACAGCGGGCTCCGAGTCAATTGGCACAACAGTGGGCACCGGATCAGGTACCGGATCATCTGGATCAACAGCGGGCATCGAGTCAACTGGCCTAATAGGATCGTCAGGCTGGATCAGTTCATCATGCTGGGTAGAGGCATCAGGCTGAATGCTGGGCGTCCGGCTGAGTAGAGGCTTCAGGCTGAGTAGAGGCTTCAGGCCGAGTAGAGGCTTCAGGCCGAGTAGAGGCTTCAGGCCGAGTAGAGGCTTCAGGCGGAGTAGAGGCTTCAGGCCGAGTAGAGGCTTCAGGCCGAATAGAGGCATTAGGCTGAGTAGAGGCTTCAGGCCGAGTAGAGGCATCAGGCCGAATAGAGGCTTCAGGCCGAGTAGAGGCTTCAGGCCGAGTAGAGGCCTCAGGCTGAAGAGAGGCATCAGGCTGCGTACAGCATCAGGCTGAGTACAGGCATCAGGCTGCGTACAGGCATCAGGCCGAGTACAGGCATCAGGCTGCGTACAGGCAATCAGGTTGAGTACAGGCATCAGGCTGAGTACAGGCATCAGGCTGAGTATAGGATTCAGGCTGAGTAGAGGCTTCAGGCTGAGTAGAGGCTTCAGGCTGAACCACGGAAGGCAGGTTCACCGGTTTGGATACTGGCAGGATGGTATTGGTTGGAAAGAATTTTCGCTTTTTCGCTTTTTTCTGGTTTTAAGTAAACGCAGGTCTGCAAACGAATGGAGCAGCTGGAGACAGAGAAGAACTGGAGGATGGAACAGGAGAGGGAGCAGTTGCTACAGAGGGCTTTTTTACAGGGTTAAAGGCAGGATAGGTGCAGCGAGTGGGAACAGGGTACTGACATGCGGTAGATAGCAGGGCAGGAGGAGCTGTTGGGAATGCAGGAATAGAGTTTTGAGGAAATAGATTAGAAGCAGGACTGGGTTTTTGTAAGCTGACTGAGGCTGGGTGCAACAAGTCTGTCCATGTCTGCAGTAGGGGTTGAACAAAGCTCAGTTTACACAAAGCCTGTCTGACCAAAGACTGCACTGCGTTTATACAATCTCTTAGTACCTGTGGTGAACATGTGGAATAACGCTCCAGAACGTAACCCACATCATCCTCTAATAACCACACCAGGGACTCTACCTGGTCGGCACTAAATGGTGGCAAAAATTCATCCCTGCATTCGGGGGTACCAGATGAAACCAACTCAGCACAAACCTCAATCAAAGGCTGCACCTCAGAGAACTCTGTGCCCTGATCTACTAGAACATGAGCGAGCCGTATACATTCTAGTAGTTCATCCCGGGTATACTCCTTCAGAGTTTGATAAGCATACTCCCTGTCATCAAACACTAGCAGATATAAATACGCAACCTCATCCAGATCCATCCTTCCCATCAACAAGCCAAGATGGCTTCCCTGTGCAGCCACTTCTGGTCAGGATTGGCCTTGGTGTAATGTCAGGGCTCCCGGGTATGACCAGAGGTGTGTGACTGACGCAGGGAAACGCAGACTTCAGATATGTTATAAACAATGTGATTTATTAACACTAACCATACAAACATAAACGCAGTGCAATACTAAAACATAACACAGTGCAAACAAACCAACCAACCACCCACAGATAACAGTACATACAATGCAAGCGTCGTCAGGCAGGCCGGGTCAATATCAGTCGGGCAGGTAGGTACAGGGGGAGCAAGCGGAGAATGGTCGGGGTCACAGGCCAGGTTCAGCAGGTAGCGGGCAGCGTGGTACAGAGGGTCAGGCAGAGGAGAATGGTCAGACAAGCCAGGGATCAGAGCAGGGTCAGCAGAGAATCAGACAGGAACAGAGAGCAGGAACAGGATACAGGGCCCAAGAGAAACACAACACCAAGGCAGAGTCTGCAGGTCTGAATGTCCCTTAAATACACCAGTATAATTAGTTCCAGGTGTTTGACTGGCTGCAAGGTTGAGTCTCTGATTGCTGGGAGCACCCGCTGGCCAGCCCTGGTACTGCAGCTCATAAGGCAGCTGAGTCCCACTATTGCTGGCCAGTCCATTCCTGACAGTAATGCTTAAATGATCCATTTCCATCTTCACTATATTTAGTTTACCTTGATTCATGCTTTGCACATTTCAAGTATATATACTGTATATAATTAGTTTTTTTTTTACAGCTTTGGAATTTTCATTTACAACATTCCAATATCACTGTCTAGTCTAGATTACCAAAAATGTATAGTGTAGCCACATCATTCATACTAGCTCTGTCTCAGTAGAATGTTGAGCAACCTCTGCCCTGAAGGGCCCATCTTCTGACACTATATTGACCTCCATTATATTGCCCTTGTCACCTCTGTAATAATCCGCCATTGACATTGTCCAATACTGCTTTTTCCCAATATAGGTGGTAGGTTTGTCTGGTATCTCAGCTAAAACCTTTTTGCAATGGGTGACCCTAACAGGAATTGAAACTCCGGGCAGCATCGATTTTACATAGCAATGACATCATACCATATGTCCTTTGTATCTTGCTGTAGTAAATGTGATCACTGCCAACATGCATTATCAGAATCTTGATAGAGTTTAGCCATTCTTTGACCTTGTTCTCTATGAGCAGTTCCCTTATCCTCTTTATCTTCCTCTAACTTCATTTGTTCCTGTAAGAGAAATATAGGCAGGTTTTTATTGATTGCAAATATTTAATCATTCATTTGCAATTATTAGAGACTTTATTTCAAAGGCCAACTTGATTGGACTAACTGGGATGATGTAATTCAACGCATGCTTGGAATGTCCACCAAGCTGTGCATGTATTCTGATGAGGTAATCTCTTCCCATCTTCCTATCAGTATGTTTCCTTCTCAGCATATTTGCATGCAGTACATCTAATTTTCGCCAACACTTATTCTCCCTCTCCTAATTTAAATGCTTTTGTACAGGGATTACAAAATGCTAAGTCCTTAGTCGTCTATTTGCATTAAAAAAAAATATACATTCATTTAGCTGCATTAATATGGGTGTTTTTATATCTGCCCATATTGCATGACATGGCCTTGGCCACATAGAACAGCCTTATCTAACAGGACAGGAGACCTTTGATTTCTCTCCAGCAATTAAGAAACAATTCTCCTTCAGCCTCCAATGGTCAATAAAAAAAAAGGCAGCAAGCTGATGCTTTAATTTCTTCATCACTCGGCTTTCACTTCCTATCAGCATGCTCCTTGTTAGCACATGGGCACTGCAGCATACCTTGTTGGCTCTTAGTGCTGCATTTCATTCTCCCAGTTTCATTCTGAGCTCTATTGTACAGGGGATTGCCAGTGACTGATACCAAATCAAATAATGATTTGTTTCACCCAAATGCAAAGGTACACTCATCTACAGTGCGCCCATCTGGATGTGGTTCGTACCTTGGATTCAGTTTAGAGAAAAAAAGTGGTAAAGTGTATGTTAGCATGAAAAGCAGACACCCACATATTCCTGTGCCTACTTTTAACAGCCCCATAAACTAACAAGCACCCCCCCCCCCCAGCCTTAAGCATTTACTCAACTTCCCCTGATTTCTTTGTCATATTGTTCAGCTACTGAAAGCAGAAGAAGCTATACTGGGCTATTGACTCTCCACTTGTGACCAGGGGTGTACTGACCATTTGGAAACTCGGGCACTGCCCGAGGGCCCGGGGTCAGTAGGAGGCCCCATGAGATGCCCCTGGTACCTTTTTCATAGGCTTTTTTGAGTTTGGGCAAGGACACAGGGGCCCCATGATCCCCTATTGCCCGGGGGCCCATGAGTTGTCAGTCCGCCCCTGCTTGTGACAGCGCTGGTTTGTGGTTATTGGCCTAAAGATTCATCCCAAGGTGCCACAGAGCAGTGAAGCAAGAGTGTTGCCCATACAAGTAAATGGCTATATGCGATCAATGCTTGTACGCCCAATGGCTACTGCATTGGCATATACTGATGATGCACATACAGCATATTTTCCTAAATGCAAAAGTTATACATTCAGGGAAATATGTCATATGGGCATGGTAAATACTGATGCAGATGCCATTGGCTTTTACAAATGTACTATTGCATACTGCCATTCAATTGTATAGGCAGCTGTATGCAAGATATAAGGCTCCTCAGGTGTGGGACAGTCCAGGAAATGTTATGCTAGAAGACTTGAATGCAAATTTCCATATGCATGAGGCTTTAACTACTTGCCCTCCTGAGTCTTTACCCCCCTTCCTGACCAGGCCTCTTTTTGCTACTCGGCGCTGCACTGATTCAACTGATAATTGCGCGGTCATGCAATTCTGCACCCAAACGAAATTGAAGTCCTTTTTTCACACCAATAGAGCTTTCTTTCAGTGGTATTTGATCACCTGTGCGCTTTTTATTTTTCACTCTATAAACAAAAAAAAGACCAAACATATTGAATACAAACATATTTTTTACTTTCAGCTATAAAAAAGATATAGTAAACTCAAAGTTAGTTATAAATTTAGGCCAAAATGTATTCTGCTACATGTTTTTGGTAAAAAAAAATCCCAATAAGTGTATATTGATTGCTTTGTGTGGAAGTTATAGCGTCTACAAACTATGGTATAGATAATGCAATTTACGCCATTTTTTTACCTATACAGCGCTGCGCTAGTTTAACAGACAATTGCGCGGTCATGCAATGAAATTTATGTCCTTTTTTTTTTTACATAAATAGAGCTTTCTTTTGGTGGTATTTAATCACCTGTGAACTTTTTATTTTTGGCGCTATAACCAGAAAAAGTTTTGAAGAAAAAAAAAAAATGTTTGGAAAAAAAAAAAAAAAAACAATATTTTCTCATTTCGGTAATAAAAAATATCCAAAAAACTAAAATGTTGTCATAAATTTAGGCCAAAATGTATTCTGCTACATGTTTTTGGTTAAAAAAAATCCCAGTAAATGTATATTTATTGCTTTGTGTGAAAGTTATAGCATTTACAAACTATGGTATAGATGATGGAATTTACACAGCTTTTACTTTCTGACTGCCCATCACATTTCTTGAGGTGCTAAAATACCAGGATAGTACAAACACCCTCACATGACCCCTTTTCGGAAAGTAGACACCCTAAGCTATCTGCTGAGAGGCATATTGAGTTTATGGAAGATTTTTTTTTTTCCACAAGTTTCTGGAAAATGACAAAAACATTTTTTTTTCTTTTACACAAAGTTGTCATTTAAATTATTTATTTCTCGCACAAGCCATGGGTATATGTGGAATTACACCCCAAAATACATTCTGCTACTTCTACGGAGTATGGGGATACCACATGTGAGACTTTATGGGAGCCTAGCCACATACAGGAGCCTGAA